TACATACATATACACACATATACATACACACACATACATATTTTTGCGTAAAAAGAGTCCACATTGTTTGCACGTAAAGTAGGTCCACATGATTGTCCCGCACTGTTTGGAAATCCTGCCTACGGCATGAATTGAGTGTTTCCTGTACAAAATATGGATTAGGCCTATATACAGATATAGTCAATAGCTAAAAACAACTTTTAAATAAAAATGTGACAAATAAATTTTAGAGCAGATTTTCTTGTAGTTTCAGTTTTAATACATCACTGTATTGTTGTACAGCCGGCCAGTGTAGACGTCACATGGGGTACAGTTCTAGGGGGAGAGGGTCCTTACGAGAAAGGTGGGATGCATGTGCATATGACTATGATAGGATCGAATGGTTAGGAGCGTTATTTAGGACTAGAATAGAAGCAATCATTGCAAAGGCGTTAGACCCGTAGCACTATTATCTGTCGTATGACAAAATAATAGCTAAAAACAACTTTTAAATAACGTGACCAAGGACTTTTGATGTGACAAATATATTTTGGGGCAGATTTATTACAGTTTCAGTTTTATTTCATTACTGTAATCTTGTAAAAAAAAAATAAAAAAAAAATAAAAAAATCGGTAAATTCGGTAGAATTACTGTGAAGGTAGCCTCGTGAAGGACGCCCTCTAGTTCGTGTTTGTACTTTTTGAAATAGGCCTACGTACCACGAGAGTCGGACCTCTTGCAGTTCTATACTCTCAGAGTGCGGTACTATAGAATGTCAAAATGGCAGTTTACATCATGTTAGCGTTTTATGGCAAAAGGCGAATTTTTAAATCACAAATTATAAAAGAAATTTTCCGTATATTTTCGCCTTTAATTTTAATTTAAAAATTAGCAAATTACGATTGAAAACAGGGGGTCGTCTTATACGCACAACAGTTTAAAAAAATTCAAATCGTGTTCGTCCTAGTATTAACTTGGGGAGGGGATACCACATACTGTGGCGTTGCACCTTGAAAAGGCATCGAGACCTTTTTATTTCCTTTGCAAGCCTATTTTGAACCCTATTTCTGAATTTAAAGGAGATAATTATTCTGTTCATAGATATAATTACACATTTGTTAAATTGGGACCAGGAAAGTATTAATTACAGGCAGTGGCGTATCTAGGGG